AGCAAACTTTGCTGCATTATCCGACACCAATGTCTTAGGTCAGGGGTTCTTAACCGGGGGTATCCATATCCCTTGAGGGTATGGGAACCAAATGCTGTATGGGAAACAATTTCTGGGTACTGGTAGTCCCTCCCACCCTGTGTTGTGTTTGACAGATTCCACAAAAACAACAGCAAATATCTCACTAGATTAGTAAAAAGTATGGTTTATCGTAGTCGAGATACTAAAAAAACTTGCATATTTATGTTCTCTTCTTTTTTCTTGTGTAATAAAACTGAATTATAACTTTATTTTGCTTTCAGTAAAAAAAAAAATATAATAAAGTTATCAATGCTTATGTTTTTTTTTCATGTTCTATTCCTAGCAATCCATAGCTAAAGTACAGTAAATTCAAGTGATTTAAATATTTGGAAGACATACTGGCAAATAATTGGTGATTGGTGATAATTATTTCGACAGTCAAGTAAAGGGGGTATGGGACCATATTGGACAATCTATTGAGGGGTCTGGAATCATCAAAAGGTTAAGAGCTACTGTCTTAGGTACTCTGATCCTTGAATATCTACTCTTAACACCTGTTTTTCAGTACTTGCTTTTCTGTCCAAAACTTTAACCACTTCAGGCCAACCTGAATATGAGTCTACTCGTATGAGGAATAGTCCGACATCTTTAATGTATGCATGATCCATGTGTACTATTTTCCATGGTTCCTCTTTTGGCCATGAATGAATCTTGGTTTGCATAAAGCTCTTTATCTTTACACACTCAGGGCATTTTCTGACATAATCCTCCACGTCTCGCGAATACCTCGGCCAACATACGTGTAGTTTCAACCTTAGTTGTATGTTCAATACACTACCATGTATGTCGTCGTGTACTGCGTTGATAAAATATTTTCTTAACGATTTCGGTGCTGCAATAATATCTCTACTAAATATGACTCCTATTTCACTTGTTAATCTGTGCCTTGCTTCCTTAAAAGCCCTTTCCGTCATAGAGCAATTGCTCTATGCATTATTCCGTATTCTGTTATGCACTCTTTTTAATATAGGATCCTGTTCGGTTTCAAACTTGAGCCGCCTGAAGGAAAACACATCTGTTTCTAACCAGTACAAAATTCTCTTCTCGCAACTGTTAATACCCCAAATGTTGAAACAAAGGATTCTTTTAACATTCTGGGTATGAACATTCAATCTTGACAATGAGTCTACGTGTGGAATGGCATTTCCTTTACTAAACATTATGTCGAAATCGAATTCCATTCGCCCACTTGAAAATCTGGACGACGTCACTTTAGGTAACTCTTTCCTCGAGTTGAAAATGAACTCTAAGGGCTTGTAGTCCAACTTTAGTAGACATTTCTTAACCAATAACAATTTTCGCACCCTTTCAGTACTGCAGACAATTGCCAGTGCTTCTTTTTCAATGTTAGAATAATTCGTCTTAGTTGCTTTCAAATTTTGGATAAAAACAAAATAGGATGTCCCTCTTGTGGTAAGATTGCTACTATTGAACGTACGTTAGCATCAGTAGTAAGTGTGAGTTATTTTATCGGGTCAAATACCTTAACTACTGCTTTGTTTCTAAGTCTTTTGGTTTTTTGAATTCCATCACCTGTCTTTCTGTCCACTGAAATTCATTATTCTTCTATTTCAAGTTCGCAAAAGATTCAATCATGTCACTGTATCGTTGTATATATTTATTATAACAGTCAAACCTAAGAAAAATTCTCTTTCTTATTTTTGGTGTACGTATTTCTGATATTTTCTTAATAAATCTGTCATCTGGTGAGATCCAATCCATAGATATTTAATACCCTAAGTATGAAAGATTTTCGCAATTAAATAAGCCGGCAATCTCGTGACAGTCCGTTTCAATATATGGCAATGGAAATGAGTCCGTATATATATGCTGATTTACACCAACTTTATAGTCACCACAAATCCTTAAATCTCCATAGGTTTTGCGTATGGCCACGATTAGAGAAGTCTAATTGCTACCTCCCCAGCTGACCTTCTCCAATATTCCTTGTTCAATAATTTTATTAAGTTTCGTCGTAACCCCGGGCAGAAGGTTAACCAGAACTTTGGTTGGCTATTCTCTTTGAACCGAACACTCGCCTCATTATCATTTAAAAATCCAATTTCGGCTTCTTGTAATTTCACGGAATTAATTAACTTTGAGGTGTCTATTCTTAATGAGTCAACACCCAGGAGACCATGATCTTTTATACACTCTATAAATATAATTGGTATTACCTCGAATCAAGTCTTTGTCTCGAACACCCCCTCAAAGTATTCAGTTGTTTCCATTGCAGATTGATCCTCCTTAATTTTGGTCTTCCCATTTTCTCTCCAAAATTCTTGGGTATTAACTTTACATCGCTACCGTATCCACTTGAATTAGTAAAGTTATTCCATTTATTTTTACCCTTTCTCTACTCTTATCTTGCGCTTTTACTTCATAAATTTCAGGGTTTTTTGTCGGTGGATCTATCTTCACTTCTACCGCTTTTTATATTTGCACACAGACTGGAAATGTTTTTTCTTCTTGTAATTAAAACATATCTTTCCAAAAGCCGGATATTTATACATGTCCATCTCATGTTCTTTGTCGCCAAAACGACATTTACGTAAACACTGCGTAGTATTGTATGTCTCCATGTTAGTCTTAGGTGTATTAAATCTCTAAATTAACTCTACCTGCTGCAAAAAAATCAAAACTCATTTCAGTATTCCTGTTCTGGACTCGAAGCTGTTCCAAAAAGTACTTACTCGAGACGTCATACAGTCCTTCAATTAGAGTTAACTGTATTAATTCCTCTTCTATAGACATCGTTCCTGTACCCAACTTTTCGAATTCCCAATACCTCGATGCTGCTTTTAGCCTGTGAACGTAATGTCTAATGGTTTCATTCGGGTGTTGCCTGAATTCAAGAAATTTTGTCGTCTCAATTATGACCGGTTTCTTTTTTGGGACGTACATTTGCTTATACAATGTTGGCAATTTCTTCAAATATCAAATATTCTAGCATCTTTCTTACAGCCTCATAACTAGAAATAAATCCGTTACTTTATTTATTTCTCTATATTTGCTATCACTCCATTTCTTGACTCACGACAACATCTCAACAAGCTCAGGATCATCTAACGAAGTTAGATATTCTATCGACGACGCCATGTTGTGTCGTGTAAAGTTCTCATAAGTACGTAAAGCATCCAAGGGAAGATAACTCCACAAACGAGTGTAGAATGCTTCTCAATTATAAGTAATCTAGTTTGCATATCATGACATTATCCATTTTATTTGTTGATGCTTTTGGAGGTTTTAAATTGATGTGATATTTTTATTTGGTAAAGTTCGTTATTTATCGTTCTGTTTTGCCGGCCTTCGGAATCAGATGAAGTCCTGTTTACGCTATTTCTAATCATTGCTCTGAGAAAACGTTCACGTAAATCGTTATAGTAGAACGCCTGGCGCGGCATCCATATTAGAGTCTAGATTTGACGAGGCGAGTCTTGTATCATCTTGTGGTTTTATTATTATTATGAGGAAATATGTTTTGACATTTAATTTGGAAGTTACTTTTAAAAGATGATTTTTATTTAAAAAAACAGTTGAAAAAATAGTAAGAAATAATGATAATTTTTAATCATTTTAGAAGCGGACTTTCTGTCCATAAGATGATGTCCCAATTCGTAATTGTACGCAGTATTAATAACATAATCCCAGATACAAAATTGACATTTTTAATAACAAGAAAAAACAGACAACTCTTTATAAAGTTAGGAATTGATTTGACACTATATTAATACAGAATGCAACACAAGTACATCCCAGATATTCCTCTCTGAAATGTTGCCCACTTTTTGGTAATACATTAGTGGCAATAGTTTCTTCATCTAGTTAATGTTTTATCATTATATTAGAATTATTTCTAGGAAGAATATGAGGGAGGTATTTCTGTTGTACACTGTATTGTGAACAGGATACCGTTTTTAAAACGAAAAAAAAAATCAATATTTCTCGAATCTAAAAGATTTCGTGTTTTGAAGAAGGTTTAACGAATGCTTATCTACAAAAATTGTTACAACTTGTATGACCTTGAATTATTGACATTATTCGGACTGTTATCCTCATCTTCATTGCCATATTCACAACGTTTCGACATTTGTACGCTCCGGCCTTCTTTAAATGATTGGAATTTCGAATTAGAATATTATGATTATTTACATTATTCGGACTGTTATCCTCATCTTCATTGCCATATTCACAACGTTTCGACCTTTGTACGCTCCGGGAAGGGCATGTGATATTTGGATAATATATTTATCCAGAATTAAAATATTTTAAAAGGGATTTCTTTCTGTGATTACAAGCTAAAATTAGTTCATTACGTTTAAGTAGATTTCGGTCATTAATATTTTTGAGAATGAATCTTTTTTTTCCCGGCAAACACAGGTTGCATCGTTCGCCGCGGTCGGAAAAGGGTGTAGCTTTGGCGACGAAAATGCAATATACTATCGGTGTATATAGTCATGTGTTTTAATAATCCTAGTTTTTAATTGTTCCTTATCATATCATTATTTCGGCTTCCGATACATATTTGTATTTGATCCAAATTCATATATATATATATATATATATATATATATATATATATATATATATATATATATATATATATATATATATCGCTATGGTTGCTTATTTATCTCCATTTTGAGAACTTGCACAGGCTGAGAAATTTTCAGCCCTTCCTCATCTATATGATTTACTTTTATTTTTATGCATCTACAAAAAGAAATCATTTTGAACAGATTTTTACGCATAACTAACGCGCAAAGATAAATCATTGATGCAGAAATCTTATTATCTCCCCACACCCAGAGGAGCAGATCGTGTGTCACGGAGTGTGTATTTTAACACTCGCATAGATACATCTCTGGAGACATTTTTCTTCTGAACATAGGTATACATAAATTATTTTAATGTGTATATCACATGGGTGCATTCAGAATTGCTGGGAAACAGGCAAATGGGTCTTCGTAACACGAAGTGACAGGAGCAGAAAAAAGAGGCAAATGATGTGAGGAGATAGATAGATAGATAGATAGATAGATAGATAGATAGATAGATAGATATGAATAGAATGTGATAGACAGATAGATATGAACAGATTTGGATAGATAGATAGATAGATAGATAGATAGATAGATAGATAGATAGATAGATATGAACAGAATGTGATAGGCAGCTAGATATGAACAGATTGGGATAGATACATAGATAGATAGATAGATAGATAGATAGATAGATAGATAGATAGATAGATAGATATGAACAGAACGTGATAGATAGATAGATAGATAGATAGATAGATAGATAGATAGATAGATAGATAGATAGATAATAAACAGAATGTGATAGATAGATCGATAGATATGAACAGAATTACATAGATAGATAGATAGATAGATAGATAGATAGATAGAAATGAACAGAATCTGATAGATCGATAGATATGAACAGAATTACATAGATAGATAGATAGATATGAACAGAAAAGGTTAGATCGATATATATATATGAACATAGATAGATAGATAGATAGATAGATAGATATGAACAGAATGGGATAGATAGATCGATAGATATGAACAGAATTAGAATAGATAGATAGATAGATAGATAGATAGATAGATAGATAGATAGATAGATAGATAGATGGTATGAACAGAATGAGATAGATCGATAGATATGAACATAGATAGATAGATTACTATAGTTCGGCATATAGATAGAAACTGAAATGAGCAAGAATAGAGAAATTAGGGAAAGAAATCTATATAAAGATACCAAACAAATGACAGTAGGTAATCATAATTAGATACATAGATATATCTATATGGAGATTTAATGTGTGTGTGAGAGAGAGAGGGTGAGAGAAAGAGATTGCCGTTTACGCATGCCCGCACCAAATATAAAGAAAGGAAATTACCGAATTAAATTGACGTGAATAAATGTAGAAAATGATCAGCAATTCAAAGACATTGGTGCAGATAATCACACAATCAATTGATTTGTTTGGTCGCATGGAAACTTTCAATGGAGACGCCTCCGACATGCGCAGTATGCCACTTGTGTTAGTATGGAAACCCAAAAGCATAAAAAAACTGCTATTTGCATCTGAAAGCAATATTCTTATAAATTTTTTTCTGCATAATAAATTAAAATCACGGAATCATGACCTGTAGAATCATCTTGTCTCATCTTTTGAGGACTACACAGCTATTCATATTAACACAGAAACAAGATATATCTACATTTTAGACAACATTTTATTATAAACTTCTTTGAGATTCAGATCGTAAAAATAGGTAATATAATATTTGTCTATATCTCTGAAGTGAGGTATCATGATTACTTGCATTATATACATTATTCGGACTGTTATCCTCATCTTCATTGCCATATTCACAACGTTTCGGTAGTTGTACACTTCGGCCTTCTTCAGGTGATCGGAATTTCGAACCGAACCATTTGGTTCATCAACTTTGTCATTTGTCGTCAAGGTGACATAACCCAGTGAATAAAAACATTGGTTAGATCCAGTGACTAGACCCAAAGCTTTGTGAGTTCAATACCAGGCTACAGAAGTGGTGAACCAAAAATGGTAAATCATGTAGATGAAGAAACGCTGAAAATTTCTCATATATATATATATATATATATATATATATATATATATATATATATATATATATATATCAATGAATTTGGATCAAATACAAATATGTATCAGAAGCCGAAATAATGATATGATAAGGAACAATTAAAAACTAGGATTATTAAAACACATGACTATATACACCGATAGTATATTGCATTTTCGTCGTCAAAGCTACACCCTTTTCCGACCGCGGCGACCGATGCAAACTGTGTTTGCCGGGAAAAAAAAGATTCATTATTAAAAATATTAATGACCGAAATCCACTTAAACGTAATGAACTAATTTTAGCTTGTAATCACAGAAAGAAATCCCTTTTAAAATATTTTAATTCTGGATAAATATATTACCCAAATATCACATGCCCTTCCCATATTTTAGGTTACATGCTGATTACCCCCCTTTAACCATTTTCACAAGTTATACATTTTAACGAGATAACCGGCGTTCCTCTTTTAAGCTTTAAGCTTGCCTATTTTTTTGTTTACAATAACCCCCTACCTACTGTCTACATTCTGTATTTACATCCCAATATTAAATTAAGTTTATATTAAAATTGATCTTTGAATCTGCTTTTCATTTAACATTCCTCCCATGGGGCCCAGTATTTTTATTTTGTTTTTTTTTAAATTAAAAGTAATAAATTGTGCATGATGAGTTGGTAAAGCAACGAAACTTTAAGTTATACTTCGACCGTAGGTATATGTATATTTATTAATATATATAGAAATTTTTAGGAAAAAATATTATGCTTTATTTTCCATAATTTTACTACACGAGTTTCTGGTCTCGCGACTGTCTTCAGGTAAAAGCGAAGATTTCCACATATTATTAAAAATAATTAATTTTCCTTATGTTTTTCAATGTTAAATATTCTCGATATGAGACATTCTCTGTTTTTATATTAGTAATCCGAATGTCTTACTTGAATTGGCAGTGAAGAGTTCTGCGCGAAGGGTCATAAAACAATTAAGGTTGGTCCAAGAGAAATGATGAATTACTTATCGGCATTTTATCTTTTAATGTTTTACTGACCCTTGTGCGTTCTTAGATCTGTTTCCATTTTGGTGTGTTTTTGTTAGCATGCGTGTATATATGCGTGCGTATATTTCCCCTCCATACATATACTGTCTTACTATGAGGAATTAGTAAACTCATTTGTACACATACACACCGTCCGACCACAAGGAATCAGTACATACACACACACATTTCTCAAGCTACATGGAACCAGTATACACATACACATACATACAAACACATACGTACATACATACACACGTACTTCCTAAGTTGTGTGGGGTTTGTGTGCGTGCTCGTGAGTAGTTCCCCTGTTTTGTCAACATGCGTATATATATATATATATATATATATATATATATATATATATATATATATATATATATATATTGAACAATAAAAAATATCAAACAATTAAAATCTTCACACACACTGGGTTGTATATTAATATTCCTTCATTTTTATTATTATTTCATTTAGATTCCAGGACTAGTTTCGGCCAACATGGCCATCATCAGGAGAAAAATAATTTTCTGCTTGCTGGTAGCAGTGAACTACAGAAATGTATGTCTTTATAGAGAAAATGAACTTTTGTCTGTAGTTTTCATTTGTATTTTTACTTTTTTATTTTCTTAACGCGAATTTTGGTGAGTCTTTGTGTTAGTCAAACAGTTGTTATCTGAGATAAGAGCTGGATGGATCTATGCTGCTCTGAATTCCCCTGGTCATTTTGACAGTTTCATTGGTTCCTGGAAAGGAGATGTGTCTCTGTTAAGTGTGTGTGTGTGTGTTATTTGGCTCATTACGGAGTGAGTGAGCATGATGTGTGTAGGTGTGTATATTCTTGTGGGTGTATGTATAAGTGTGAGGCCTCAAACACCTCTGTAAGCATTTCTGACTTGTGTGGGTGAGAAATGGGGGTAGGTTTTGATTTGAAGGGTTATATATTAATACTAACCAGCTGGGCTTAACTATAAATTTAACAATATAGATATTGTTAAATTTATAGTTAAGCCCAGCTGGTTAGTGCGTTTTTAAACGTTGTATCCACTTATTTTCATCGAACACTAAAATCTTTCTAATGTTATCTGCTCTGAACTTTTCTAATCTCTCAATTATAGTGAATTTGGCATGGGTTTTAAAATCGTGTTTTTGTCGGCGGAATTGTTCTACAGGTAATAATCTTTTATGGGGAGTCAACTTAATTCGATTGCGATAATTATTAATTCTGTAGTGAAAGGGCCATTCAGATTTTCCTACATATTGTTTCTGGCATAGTGTGCATTCTAGGAGGTAAATTATGTTATGACTTCTACAGTTAGAATCGTGGTAGATTTTGAAAGTAGATTTAGTGATTGAGCTAGTGGATGAATTCGTGTGTTTAATGTGGTTGAAGCATAAGCTTATTTTGTTGTTACATGGTTGCGAAAATCCTGCTTTTTTGTTGTTAGTTTATTACGGATTACCTTATCCCCTGAAATGTGGTTACTACCTATGATTTCTTTTAGGTTCTTAGGTATACGATATGCTATATATATATATATATATATATATATATATATATGTGTGTGTGTGTGTGCTTTTAAAGCTTTTTAATGTCATCGCTCTTTCCCCTAGTAAATGTTGAGCTTGACTTTTTACATCGACCAGCCTCGACCTTCATAGCTAACTCTCGCCATGCAATATATACTGAAATGAATCATCCCTATTTTCTTTGTATTCCATTAGTAAGGAAGAAATTCTATTCGGACACCGATTTTCCCAAGAAACATATTTCGTAGAAGAAATTTCCAGGCGAGTGATTCCTTGATCGCTACAATTTTAACCTCTTGAAGCAAACTCAATATCTGGCTCATGTATCTTTATTGGGTGAAAAATTAGGGAACAAAATAGATAAAATGAATACAAAAAAATATTGTTTTTGTTTCGGGCTGAAATAACTCATTCATTTCCGATTTATCCACTTGATGTCAGTAAAGGTCCATTTAAATGTCATTTGTAAATAGATAATAATGGGGAGGAACGGTGTCCGGCGAAGATGATGAACGAAGCTTTTTTCGTCCTAGTCGAGTTTTCCCACATCTTTTGTCATTCCTGAAGTATTGGATCGTGCGTTACAGAACTGGCTGTACCGTTTAATATCCGGTCGTGAACTGAGAAGAATATTTTCTCTGATGCAGTTCCGCCCTTAAGCGATTAAGACGCTTTCCCCTACGACAAAGTTACTAAACATTGTCGAAAATGATCCACATTGAATCACTAGTAATGTGCTTGAATCTTACAGAAATGCGCATTGATGCTCAACAATCGACACTTTGCGATTCTCTGCGTAAAGGTCATATGGAACCCATTTCTTAAAAATCTTTGACACTTTTCCAAAGTCTTCTAATTTCTCCAAAATCTTTCACACTTTTCCGGTCTTATAATTTCCCAGATTTTTGACACTTTTCAAAAGTCTTACAATTTCCCAAATCTTTTCTTTTAATTTCCAAAAACTTTCCAGTCTTCTAATTTCCCAAATTTTTTATTCTTTTCCAAAGTCTTCTAATTTCCAAAAATCTTTGACACTTTACCAAAGTCTTTTTATTTCCCAAATCTTGGACACTTTTCATAAGTCTTCTAATTTCCCAAATCTTTTTCACATTTCCAGTTTTCTGATTTCCCCAATTTTTTATTCTTTTCCAAAGTCTTCTAATTTACCAAATTTTTATTCTTTTCAAAAGTATGCTAATTTCCCAAATCTTTGACACTTTTTCAAAGTCTTTTAATTTCTAAAAATCTTTGACACTTTTCCAAAGTCTTCTAATTTCAATAAAACTTTGACGCTTTCCCAAAGTCTTCTAATTATCCAAATCTTTGTCACATTTCCAGGGTTCTAATTTCCCAAATTGTTTATTCTTTTCCAAAATCTTCTAATTTCCCAAATGTTTGACACTTTTCCAAAGTCTTTTAATTTACCAAATCTATATCACTTTTCCAGTCTTCTAATTTCCCAAATCTTTGTCATATTTCCGGTTTTCTAATTTCCCATAACTTTGACACTTTTCGAAAGTCTTCTAATTTCCCAAATCTTTGACACTTTTCCAAATTCTTCCAATTCCCCAAATCTTTGGAACTTTTCCAAAGACTTCTAATTTTCAAAAATCTTTATCACTTTCCAAAGTCTTCTAATTTCCCCAAAACTTTTGACAATTTTCCAAAGTCTTCTAATTTCCCAAATCTCTGGTACTTTTCCAAAGTTTTCTAATTTCTAAAAATCTTTGACACATTTCCAAATCTTCTAATTTCGCAAATCGTTGACACTTTACCAAAGTATCCTAATTTCACAAATCGTTGACACTTTTCCAAAGTCTTTCAATATCCCAAATCTTTATCACATTTCCAGTCTTCTAATTCCCCAAATATTTGTCATATTTCCCGTTTTCTAATTGCCCATATCTTTGACACTTTTCCAAAGCCTTATAATTTCCAAAAATCTCTGACACTCTTCCAAAATGTTCTTATTTCTCAAATCTTTGACACT